TACATTGTAGGTAACAGTGGCAACAATGATGGTACATTGTAGGTAATAATGGCAACAGTGATGGCACACTGTAGCCAACATTGGCAACAATGATGGCACACTGTAGGTAACAGTGGCAACAGTGATGGTACATTGTAGGTAACAGTGGCAACAATGATGGTACATTGTAGGTAATAATGGCAACAGTGATGGCACACTGTAGCCAACATTGGCAACAATGATGGCACACTGTAGGTAACAGTGGCAACAATGATGGCACACTGTAGGTAACAGTGGAAACAGTGATGGTACATTGTAGGTACCAATGACAACAATGATGGTACATTGTAGGTAATGATGGTAACAGTTATGGTACATTGTAGGTAACAGTGGCAACAATGACGGCACACTGTAGGTAACAGTGGCAACAGCGATGGTACATTGTAGGTACCAATGACAACAATGATGGTACATTGAAGGAAACTGCAGTTGAACAGAAGCGAGTAATTGTCCCCTCAGTTGAGCAATTATGTCAAAAGTCCTGTTGGAAAGGAAGCCAGTTATTCAAATGAAGAGCTTATTTGTACAAGGATAAACAAATAAACAAAAACAATTATTCTTTACCATTCTCTCCCAGCATAACAATGATTTCAGAGTCTGTGAATTCTCCAGCATCAATACCCAAATGGAACTCCTCTGTGGAAATAAGGAGCAGTATTCAGCAATTCATAGCTCAGATACTCACAGTTGCTCATATACTGAAATTTATCCTACTTTTCTTTTCCACCATTTGAGCTCATATTTTAAGCTACAATAGGTCTAACTCCCTCTGATCAAAAACCCTACATGCAACACTTCTCCACACATACTTAGCTGTTTTTCCATCTTAGGATATTTGTATTTCCTCATTTTTCTTACTTCTTCCTCCTGCCACATGCAAAATAAAATGATAATCAGCATTTCGACTCAAATCCTTATCCTGCTATGGACAAAAGCTCAGTTAGTATGGGGCAATTGGCTCAGGTGATTAATTCATCTTTTCAGTTCCATACTTGTGACAACAAACTTTGACCACTTTTTTCCTGCAGTTTCAGGAAAAGCAGTGGCCTTAAAGTAAGATTTTGGGTCAAGAAGTCCTGAAGGCTGTTTCTTGAAGGTCTTGCTAACTTAACAGGCCTGTAAAGCAGTTCTGTTATCTTTCAAGATGGGGGTTTAAAAGTTTTGAAAATTATACAATAAAACCGTCAGCTAAAAAAAAAAAATGGACCGGTTAAGGTAACAGAACCTGCTTTTCTATTCTTTAAACTTTTATTTTGAAATCTGGCGTCAGGCTTGTTCAATTACAGGGTCTTTTGAGAAATGGGTACCAGGTTTGAGACCTGGACGTATCTCGAAAGGCCCTGTAACTTAACTGGCCCAAAGCCTTATATTTAAATCAAAATTTTGAGAATAGAAGAGCAGATTCTGTCACTCTGACCAGTCTAATGTGTTCTTGGACAAAACAGTTTACTTTCACAGCGCTTCTCTCCACCCAGGAGCATAAATGGATACCAGTGAATCTTCAGGGAAGCCTGATGAAATACTAGGGTAATCTTCCGATTGTTTCGTGCTCGGGCCATAAATCTCAGCGGAACAAGCTTAAGTAGTCTGTAGCATACAGTACAGACCCCTAACTCTGTTAGTAAGAGGTGTATCCATGACCAAGATGATTTGCATGAAGGACAACAAAGGGTCTTAAGTTTTGATGATCATGTTATGCATGTGCCACTGACTCTCTGTTAATACCTTGATCCACTCATAAAGGCAACAATGTCTTGACTAAACAAACCTTGTCTGCTGTTTCAGCCACTTTAAAAACCAAAGATGTATCCCTAAACCTCAGGTTCTCAGTAGGAACAAAACCATCCAGAAAAATATTGATTCCTGAAAATTAAAAATGAAGCCCCAGGTGTAACACTAGCAGTGGAAGAGACAAGTGCATGTAACTTAAACAGGTTTTTTCTTTTCAACATAATTTTAAAACAGAATGAAGCATGATAAATCAAAAAGGAAATTGTCTTTTCCAATTTACAAAGAAATCTTAAATAGCTAAAAGGAAGAATCACCAATCACAGTGAGGGGGTTAGAGAGTTGATGATGGTGTAAAGTCTGAGAATGATTTCCAGCAATATGACACTTGCATATTGATACCACAAAACACTTACCGATCATCACCAAGAAGGGATCTTATTGTCAGGGCACACTTCAGACGTTGCTTTACATCCAAGTAACTTGAAGGTTCATCAAACATGTAACTAGGATAGACAAAAAAAAACAGTCTTTAAACCTTTCCTGACTGTACTAGTACGTACTGACAACTAGATGTATCCCTAATCTTGTGATTACAATAAGAATTAAACTTTTACTTACATATCAGCTCTTTGTATGCAAACCACTGCACAAGCAAACCGTTGCAGCTCCCCTCCGGAAAGTTCATCCACATTACGATCCAGTACTGTTAATAGATCTGGGAATAACGCAGCAAATTTAAATTGATAGAAAATTCCAGAAATATCATAAGCAACTCTCTGTTGTACCATTATGACAATGGCTTTACAGTGATAAACAAAAAAAAACCAAGCATACCAAGCTGTCTGCAGATATGTTCTTGGTTGTCCATCTCATTTTTTCTGTCAAGAATTGACTGAACACTCCCCTGAAAATAAATTGGTTAAAAAAAAGATCAAAGATGAATATAAAATGTTGTTAGTTATAAGAGTTTGATGGATTGCATCCTTTCAAATGAAGATCAACTTGATGTTGGTTGTAGGAGATGCAGTGGCCTTGAAGTTAATCCTTTACAGCTAACATCAGTATGCATATTCTCCATACTGTGCAGAATAGGTTGCTGAATGACTGAGAATTCTCCCTCATGAATAGATGTTTGACTGTACTAAGTATAATTTGCAATAAACATGGAAGCAATCACTAAGTTGCTCACCTTGACCGCTTTAGGAATTTGGTCAACATACTGTGGTTTAATGATAGCCTAATAAGAGAAAATGGGATTCAAAATTGAACCTAATGGTCAACATGACGAGCTGAAACCATTTTGGTCATTATAGCAGTGAAATTTGTAATCAAAGTTACCACTTTGGCAACTTGTACTCAACACTCCTTTGACAATCTAAAAAAAAAAATGCTTCTATAACTTAATTCTTACAGTCTGAGATAACAGTAAAATAAACATGTGTCATTATGGCAGTGAAATTTGTAATCAAAGTTACCACTTTGGCAACTTGTACTCAACACTCATATGACAATCTAAAAAAAAATGCTTCTATACCTTAATTCTTACAGTCTGAGATAAGAGTAAAATAAACATCTGCCCAAAAAAAATTGAATGGTTAATTGTTATCTCCAGGGATTTCATTCATTTCGGAAGTGGATGTATGATAGGACATAAGTAGGTGGAAGACAGTTAGGTGGTAATCGAGGCAGATTTGTCACCAGTCTTTCTCTTCTGTCCATTCAACATGGCGCCCAGTTAACCAATCGTGTTGTTGATTGTTGTTGAATTGTTAGAACTTGTTACAAAATTCCTCCAACAACCAAAAAGGACACAAAATATCAACAAAAAACACCTTTACTGATGACTGCCTTTGGAGTATATTGAATATTTTCCAAAAAACATGCAAAAACCGGGAGGTGGAATGGCCATAGCAGCCTGCTCCATTGTGGAGAGAAGCTGCTGAAATTATAAGGATTTGACATGTCATGTCAACCTCCAAAATCCTTCACCAGCCATATAGGCAACTAATGTATAAATGGCAGGTCCAATTGGAATTCTTTTTTACTCATAAAAATAAGCCCAACTAGCCTCATCTTTAAGTTAAGGTTTTAGTGTTCCTTAGACATACTGTAACTGACGAGACTCTCTGGTATTGTAAATTGTTGGAACATGGGGGTAACATGTGAAAGTGTGGCCTGATAGTTCAGGTGAGTGTAATCCTGAGAAGGACTGTTGCCAGTAATGGTGCTGACGTTTCAACAACCTGAGCAGAAGTCATCCGAGAGTCAGAATAGTTAGGAATAGTTGACTATTCACTTGACTCTGATGATCAATTCCGCTCAGGTTGTCAAAACATCAATCGCCACTACCAACAATAGTCCTTCTCAGGAATACACTCGACTAGACTATCAGACCACGCTATCACAAGACTCATTGGGCAAATCTACATGAATACAAAAGAACACTTGTGCTTATTTTAAAGATAATAATATACATGAAAAAATTTCTCAGTTCTGATTGGTTAAGATGAATGCAGTTTTCAGTTAATTCAGTGCAGAAGAGAGTTAATTCAGAGCAGAAGAGAGTTAATTCAGTGCAGAAGAGAGTTAATTCAGTGCAAAGAAAGAAACAAACCAGACATTCTGATTGGTCAGAATGATTGGTCAATGTCAATGTCAAGGTCAATGTCAATGTCAATGTCAATGTCAATGTCAAGGTCAATGTCAATGTCAATGTCAATGTCAA